TTCACCTGTTACCTTTAGGCTGGCGTAGGAGAACAACTCAATATTTAGAAGTACTTTGCAACTTTTTACACATTAAAAAAAATCCCTAGCAACTTCTATACAGAAGAAAAATTTTTGTTTTTTGAATGTCTATGCCAAAACTTTTGTAAACAGACTTGCCATCTAAATGCAGCTGTAGCAGGGGTGAACAAAGCAACTTGCCTGAGGAAGCAATGCTATGCAATGCTTTATAATGTACAAATAAGAAACCTGTAGTATCTAGTTGGCATAATTAGAGGCATGGACAATTAACTAGACTAGAGTTTGACCAGGTCACCAGAATAAATAATGCATAAAAAAATTACAAAACAAAACACCTGCCATACAGCCTCTTCTGTCCACCTTCTGTCTTTCCGCTACTTCCACCTAAGTAGCTCTCTTTCCTACAAAATGTCTTAAGACCCAATTCAATTCCTGCTGAAGCAAGAGATACTTTTCCACTTAGAGGAGGTCAGTATTCACCAAAATTCCTTTGAAAGACAAGGACCACTTACTATATCATTCGTTATGTTTCCTAGAGCCTTTTATTGTTTCATTCCTTCTTCCAAATATTAACAGACCATAGCTCAGTAGAAATACTACTAATGTAGATTTTTCAAGCAATCCTTACTGATGGAAAAGGCTAGGATTTTTGTTATTCTTTTTGACATCTCCCATCTATAATTCTCATTATGCTTCACACTGGGCATACGACTACATGATTATTGTAATTTAATTTCTATTTTGTCTATTTTCAAGTAAATTGACAGTAAGTGGAGACACAGACTGTTACTCGGCTATTACTGAAGCAATAGCAAAAAGAATAGAAAATACTATTTCTGTTGGGTTCTACCCATGAAAAATTTGATTTTTGTGGTGTTTCCTGGAAAGGCAGTAGAATGAAAAAGTGAAGTATATTCCTAGGATTCTCATAAAGTCAAAGGTACTTAAATGCCCACTCATATGACACTGTTATTTCTGCATCTCTCCATTTCTTCCTCTCACTTAATGGATTGGGTGGTAGAAGTCGATATATTTTTCCTATGAGTATATAGGGGCAGAGGACTCTTCAACAAGTTTGGGTTTTGATTTTTTTTTTTTTTGCTTTATTCTATGAAGTCTTGTGAATTTGTCCTAGCTCTAGTCATATGGATATGGAGCTTTAATTTTAAACCCATAATTACTAGTATAAATTGACTGAGATTAAACAAAAAGCATTTGTATTTTTCTTGCATTATCTAGATTAGTAACTATATAGATTAGTTATTTAAAATTCTAATCTTCTTTTTCTAATCCAATAATCAAAAGATGACCCTGCGGTGAAAAAGAAAGCTTTTCAGCATGCTTCAGACTGAAAACCCATTGCTTTCATGTTTCAGAAATGCAACAGTTATATTTATGCATACATCACAAAACTAGTCCTATTAACTGTTGTGGCTAAATTCTTCAATCATAAAAGCATTTCTCCACTGACTTACAGAATTATTCAAGTAATTCTTAACCTTCTCCAATGTTAAAATAAATAACTTTCTCTGCTTCTTTTGAAGCCAATGGGCACTGTGACTAAAGCATCTATCCAATATCTGTCCTGCTTGAAAAACTTGCATATGCCGACCAAATGCACACGTGCAGTTGCCTCTCCTGGTATATGCAGCATTTGCCCGTACTGGCTTTTTTTAAGACCTAATTTTTCAAACACTGACAACCGAATCTGAATTTCTCTAGATATTTTGTCCTTTGCACCTGGTCTCATATAGGATTGCTGGCACCCAAGCCTCAGTGATACTGCAGAATGTGTCACCTTCTTCAGCATCATTTGAAGAATAATTTTATCTAGTTGGGTTTTATTCTATTAATGGTTGACTGATTTATTGGTACTATGCATATCAGAGTTTAAAGATGCACAGTTTAGGCTTACATTCTATAACAGAGCAGATTATGAACATCGAGTAACAAGTCTGAAGCACCCCATAAAATTAGATCCTCATCCTTCAAATGTTTTATTTATAGGCGCAGTGCTGCTTCTGTGGGGCAGTGTTCATTGACCTACATGACTAAATAACCAAACGTTAAGCCAAATCCAGCTGAATTCAGTCATGTTCTCTATGGGGAGGTTATACAAGTGTGGGAAGTGTGGGTCGCAGTAGGAACCACTCTGTCACCGGGCACTGCTCCACTCCCAGCCATCTCAGGCTGAGGACAGCTGCCAAGTGTGGAGACGACACTGTCTCCATCGGGGAGTCTGGCACATGGGACTGGGTGTTAGCTCTCTCGACCAGATGGCAGAAGGGCCCAGTCTGGCCGCTCTTGTGTCCCAGCAGTTTCAAGGTGGCACTGGCATGTGGGAAACCCTGCCAGCTGAGCAGGCTGAGGTCATGCCTGGTGCTGCTCTGCTCTGTGCTGGGGGTGGCTTTGAGAATCACATGGGCTCCAGAGTTCCTAGAAATAGAGTCTCACTTTGCTGCAGTTCTGGTTTCCTCCTCACCTCAAAGTGCAATTACAGAGAGATGTTTTCATCCCCACATCCCACTGATCCATCACTGATCAGACAGCACAGAGTCTCCCATTCACTTTTCCCCTGCAGGCCATGGCTACTGAGTAGAGGAGCATGGCTTAGGTACGGAGCGTTTAGCCTGCCCTTACTTACTATTAAGAGAGTGAATGGTAATTCTATGAACGGCAAATCATTTTGCATTTGACCTCCAACTTGTCCCTGGAAAAGACAAGCTTCTCCTTGTGCCACAAGTATTGTTTTCTGGCAAAGTTTATTCTCAGCTGGTTAACGTCAGTTGTTAACGTACCTGCCGCCTGGGTCAGAACCCCTTGTTTTTATTTATAACCAAGTTATAAATAAAACCGGTTCTGTGTCGCCGCGGCCCGCACAGCTCTCACGGAGAGCCCGGGCCCGCTCCCGCACCCCGCGGCGGGAGGGGCGGTGCGGTCCCGCCCCCGCACGC